ATGACCCTAAGGTCTTCCAACTAATCCACTAATTTTGGAATTATGAAATTACGGTTATTATAATTTGCATCTCGATATCTTGAAAAATGTATTTAATTCCAGGTCGAACTTCTCAATTCTGTCCCTGATTTAAAATCCCCAAGTGCTTGATGTCCTCCTCTTCGTCATCAGATCTAATTTCATTCCTTCTTCGGATTGAATGTCCAACTTTGTCCACATAAGTGGCCGCTCCAAATGTTAGATTTTCATGCTCTGCGTCTCCACAAGTTGTCACTTCAAAATTTGGATTTTCTCGGTATGGGCCCTCACGAGTTGTCGCTCAAAATCTTGAATTTTCCAGCTCTGCGCCAGCAGAAGTAGTCGCTCCAAAAATTGGATTTTCATACTCTGTGCCTCTTCATGTTGTCGGTTCAAATCCTAGATCCACCTTTCGAGCTCTTCATTTTCTATGTTACACGGGCCTATCTGACGCGGTTGTCTCTCTTCTTTAGGAACGAATCCATGTCCCTTGTCTTCACAACTCCACCATCGATGACCCATACGATTCTGTTCAGCCATTGGTTGAAGGCAACCTAGTGCTCTGATTACTAAATGATGCCGAAAGCACATAGAAAAAGTAGCTAAATAGAAAGTTGGGATACGATAAAAGAGTAACCCTCTGGTTCTCAATTTCTATTAACAAAATAACAAAATTTAACTCCTGCAATAAGGGTCTTAAGCACCTTTTGATAGACTAATTACAAATCATTTCAAAATTCAAAATCTAAAATCCTAAAAATAAGAAAAATTTCTAAAATAAATATAATGTAAATTAACATATAAAAATAAATAAATAATTACAATTAAATCATTCAAAACACGTCCCAAATCTTAGATTTCAAATCATGTTAAATGTGTTGCTTTCCTTTTCTTATCAAACAAATCACAATCATATCTACTGCTTCATTTGTACTTGGATTTGATCATATTTTTTATATTTTAAATTACTGTTTCTTTTAACAATTTAGCCATACTTATTGGATCACAATTCCGGTTGACTTTGCGCGTCTTGAATCATTGGTTGAGCCATGTGCGATGGGCCAACTGTAAATGCATCATATATTTACAATTTTTTTGTTTACAAACTCAATTATGTATTTCAAGGAATACACAATTAAATGTTTGTATTCCTTTTATATTTCTCTTAAGCTCGATTTGAATTAATCGAATAATTAATATATAAATAGAGAAATTCAATTAAATAAATCTAACCCAGCGTTTTCGAAGCTGCTCTCCATGCCGATGTTGTCTTGGGCAGCTGACTAGTTTCTTCCAACGAGGATCATCTATTCATCCGGGCTAGCAGGGTCCTTGTAGCGGCACCATACAGCATTCCATTTCATTAATAATAGGGTTTTGATTTTCTCATCTTATATGAGAATTTTTTCTTATATTGTGAATCAATTAGTGATGAATTTTATATTTATTAAAAAAAAAAATTACACGTAAATCGAAGGGTTATTATTTGAGGAAAAAAAATCTCAGGTAAGATAAGAAGTGTTCTTCTTTAATAATATAGTGTATTTAACGTATTTAGGTGATTCATATTTTTCTAAAAGTAGGAGTGTAGGACTGTATACAAATCTCACGTCTCTAGACAATAGAACTATATATTCAAAGCCTGTAAATATCAACACATAAGCACGTGAGTGTTTGAAAGCATAATTCTTTTATGTTTATGTTGAATGAGAAGCGTTTTCTCAAACTGTTATCTTTTGATTTACGTTTAAAGTTTTTTTTTTTTAAATATGAGGCGATTGTTAGTTTTGTCACAACATAAAAAAATACTTCTTAGGTAATATGAGAAGTGTTTAACCTTTTTAAATAAGAGTTTATCTCCTATCTATTTTTTTTTTATTCTTTTCACATGAACCCTACATATTTTTATATATGTGCAAATATGAAAAACGTTAACCCCTTTGAATAATATAGATGTATTTGAAAATGCTCTAGTCTTTCTTTTCACCAAATCAATATTAAGAGGTCAATCGGAATCAATGATGATAACTCAGTTTGTGCTAGAGAACTAAGAAGGTATGGGTAAGAATATGTGTTCGATTCTTTGTAGTACCATTTTTGTAAAGGGTTTAAAGCCTTAATCCCGTAATCCGTTCCGAATCGGACTAGTCGCGAATAGATAGATTGATCGGAATATCTCAAAAAAAGAAAAAGTAAAAAAAGAGGTCAATGGAATAGAATTCTATATTTCTATTTATCCACATTAATTGACCTGACTCAAAACTAAATATACAATTAAATTCAAAGAATGAAGTAATTAAACATCCTTTTGTCCGTAAATCATAAACATATGAAGAAGAAAAAAAAAATATGCAACTTAATTTAATTGGAACAAATTAAATCTTGTTTTTCAGAAGAGTAATGCGGCTGGCTATTGTCGATTAACAAAGCTGCAATCTGTCCTGATCTCACCATCAGAGCCAGTAAGCACATCTATAGAACCCATGTGGACCATTGCCTTTGCAAACTTCACAGCCCAATTACTTGCTCCATTATTATTATTATTATAATTATAATTATGATTATAATTAGCATTGCTTATAACCATTTGCCTTGTTGATTCGCTGCTCCACAATGTCTGATCCGATGTCAACAACCCACGATGGTTTATCACTCCCTTATAGTACTTGTTGTCCAATCGAATTGGCGTTGCTGCATCAAGTGCCACCGTTGGGTCTGTGTTGCTCGCTGGTTGCGGACACTTTGTTTTCAACCATGCAGCATATGAAGGATCCATCGAGGGATCTTGAGCATTTGTGTCATTGAATGAGTACAGGCGTTTAGAGAAAGAAGAACAGTGTGATACACCAATTGAATGGGCTCCTGAAAGTGTCACCATTTCTTCTGCTGACAACCCTTTTCTTGCAAAATTGCCAACAAGTTGATCAACATTGAAGGTTGGTGCTGGTAGATTTTGTGGCACTTCATCACCGATGGAGACGCGACCATCTCTGCGTCCTGATGGAACGTCGTAGTTAATGCCACCAAGTTTGAGGGCTGAGTCTCGAGCTGCAAAGGCGATAATGTCAGCACATGAGACTGTGTGAGGACATGCTGACTCCAATTGGGACTTAGCATCCTCAATCACTTCAAACCCACGTAAGCTTGGATTGTTTATGAAGTTGTCTCTCTCAGCAGGTGGGTTACCGGGTGTGGATGCAAGTAACACTGAACCATCACAACCCTGTTTACATATATATATATATATAGACAGAGAAGAGGACATAGTAATGTTAGACACTTGCATACCAATTACATAGTCAGAAGTTGAAATGTTATATATTTAAACAGTGAACTTACCCTCACAAAGCAATCATGGAAATGCGTTCTAATAAGACCAGCACCTATTCCAGGGTTGAGAGAAATTGCTTTGTTGACTGCTCTTCTGACAATTGCCTCAGCAGATGGACATGTGGAGCTATAGAAACCCACCTGCAGTGTTGCTGAGCCCAATGATGAAATAGACAGAATGATCATAACCAAGCTTGAAACCATTGTTAGCTGCATGTTTGGAGCACTATCCACCATTGTGTTGTTATTTTGCTAAATGGCAGTGGGAAAATCAGGAGATTGAATGTTGTAACTAATTAATTTAAGAACAAGACAAGGAAGAAAGTGGTATTTGATGTTGTTGGCTACTAATTAATTAGGAGGAGAATGAGAAAACATATGCTCAAGCGAATGTATTTATAGGATGGGAAACTTATGATTTTGAAAGGGGTGAGAATGTGATGAAGGGTCCACTTTGTCAAACAAAATGCGTGTATTTGTATTCTACATAAATAGGTAGTAGTTGAAGTTGTCTGCCGTTGAACACTTCTCTTCGGGCTCAACTGTACCTCTTATTTTAGGCAAATATATCATATTGACTTGTGGAAAAAAGAGTGATGCCTATATCAGATTGAGTCCATTGGGAATTTTTCTTCTCTTTTGGTGGTGGCTGCATGTTGCCTTTAACTAGTACACCTTGATTAAGCCTTGACATTTATTTACAAAGAAATTAAATAAACATTCTATAACAATAGCTTGCCCCCTTGTAGCACCATAGTAATGGAGAAATGGTCAAAGTAATGAACGTAACCCCGTTCAAGATCATCTCTGTTTTCAGGTTCATGCTTCCTATACTTTTTGTTTATGTCAATGTCCAATTGCAACATTTTTTTTTTTAATAAACATGCTTTCAACATGTTGAGATGGTAATAAGCAATGGTGCCAAATTTTTTAATAAACTGACAAGGGAAATGGTAATAAGCAATGCTAATTATAATTAAAATAATAATAATAATAATAATAATAATGGAGCAAGTAATTGGGCTGTGAAGTTTGCTGAGGCAATGGTGCATTAGGGTTCTATAGATGTCCTTGCTGGCTCTGATGGCGAGATCAGGACAGATTGCAGCTTTGTCAATCAACAATAGCCAGCCGCATTACTCTTCTGAAAAACAAGAGTTATTTATTCAAATTTGTTGGTTTTGGAGATGAAAAATATAATTGAGAAATGAAGTACTAGTTTATTGATGCATAACAATACAACTTATAAAGAAAAATAATAAAAAGAAACTGCTCACGACTACACAACTCCCCATCAATAGAAAAGAAAACTGCTCACCTCATAACTACCCATTAAAGCAGAAAAGTAACTGCTCACTACTTAACAACTCATTAAAACAGAAATAAAAACTGACTCCTAAATAATTAAAAATATTGCAGTTTCTAAAACATGATTTCTAACACTCCTCCTTGCTTTTGGAGCTGCAAACACCAATCTTCTTCCTTAGATTTTCAAATTTGCACAAATGGCTACATTTTATTTTTGATAAATATTGGACAGCAACCTTGTTCCACGATTGGTGGGTCTGGTGGGTCATCTTCTAACTCTTCTTGCCAATGTTCCACTCCTTGCTCTTTGCTTATTTGGATGAGAGGACTTGATTTCTGCTTACTCATGGATGCCTCTTGTGCTTGTTTCCAGTTCCACTTTTTATCTTCATGAAAATAAACATCTGAGTGGATAGCTTATTGAAGGCTCTCCAACTTGACTTAGGAAATGAATTTCTGTTTTGTTTGCCAAATTGAAAGGCATTACAATTTGCAAAGGTTGGTAAATAATCTGCAAAGGTTGGTAAATCATTTGACAGCTCCTTCTTCATCAACAACATATTTGAGAGGTGACAATGGCCTAGTCTCTTGTGCCAAGTCTCAGTCACATTCTCCTCTGTGGAAACAGCAGCGTGCTCCTCCTCCTTGATTGGTGCAGCTTGCTCCTCCTTGATTGGTTCAAATGAGAAACTCTTGCCTCTCATTTTTGCTTTGATGATTTCCTTTCCATTCTCATCGTGAATGAGACAAACTCTATTTTTGAAAAGCACTTTGAATCCTTTTTCAATCAATTGGCCAACACTCAACAGATTTTGTTGAATTTCGGGTACAAAAAGGACATCAGGAATAAACTTTGTACCTGAGCAACTTGTTATTGCAACAGTCCCCTTTCCTTTGACTGAAATATAATCACCATTGCCTATTCTGACTTTGGTGATATTGGTTGGCTTTAAATTTTTGAAAACTCCCTGTCATTGGTCATATGATTTGTGCAGCCACTGTCAATCAGCCAACTCTCACTCTCTCCGCTGCCTGCAAAACACGTTGCCACAAAGAGTTGATCCTCCTCCTCCTCCTCTTGATCAACAACCTTAGCTTCTTCCTCTTGCTGTTGATTTTTGCTCTTGCATATGACTGCTTCATGCCTCATTTGATTGCACTTGATGCATTTAGCATCAGGTCTCTGCCAACATCTGAATGGAGGGTGACCCATTTTGCCACAATGCTGACAAGGTGGGTAACTTTTCTTTTCACCCTTTCCTTTGTTGTAATTAGTTTGTTGGCTCTTGGCTAGAAGAGCACCTTCAACAGCATGATCTTCCCTCATCAATCTTCGCTGCTCTTGGGCTAGGAGAGCATGTAGCACTTCTGCAAAAGTAATTTTAGACAGATCTTTTGTGTTCTCCAACGAAGCAATAGATGCTTCGTACCTCTCTGGCACTGTTACCAGAATTTTCTCAACAATTCTGGAATCTACAAAATTACCGCCCAGTAACTTTATCTTGTTGGCAATGCCCAACAATGTGTCTGAGTATTCTTTGATTGTTTCAGACTCTTTCATCCTTTGAATCTCAAATTCCCTCATTAAGTTAAGCACCTGCATGCTTCGAATTCTTTCATCTCCAGCATATTCTGCCTTTAGATAGTCCCAAATTGTTTTTGCCGATTTGAGAGTCATGACCCTAGTAAAGATGGTTGTGGAGATACCAGCAAAAAGGCATGATTTTGCCTTTGCTTTTCGGTTTTTTTTTCTCCTTATGATTCTTTATCTGGGCCATGGTGGGATTGTCCGGTAGAGGAAGGACTTCATAATCCTCTTCTACAGCTTCCCAAAGATCCAAAGCCTCTAGGTAAGCCTCCATTTTGACGGCCCAAAGATCATAGTTTTCCCCATTGAAAACTGGAAGAGCTGCTTGGGAAAAACTTGTTTCAGAATCCATTCTACAGGTCCCGTAAGAAAAGGGCTCTGATACCAATTGTTGGTTTTGGAGATGAAAAATATAATTGAGAAATGAAGTACTAGTTTATTGATGCATAACAATACAACTTATAAAGAAAAATAATAAAAAGAAACTGTTCACGACTACACAACTCCCCATCAATAGAAAAGAAAACTGCTCACCTCATAACTACCCATTAAAGCAGAAAAGTAACTGCTCACTACTTAACAACTCATTAAAACAAAAATAAAAACTGACTCCTAAATAATTAAAAATATTGCAGTTTCTAAAGCATGATTTCTAACAAAATTAACAGGATTTTTTTATTTTTTTTTTACTTTTCGACAAAAGGTTGTTGAATTGCTTAGTTCTTTGAATTTTGGAATAATTGTATAGTTTAGAGCCTGAGCAGTTCAGGTGTAAATTGCACTAGGATGTATATCTTGATATGTCCTTACTCATCATTTTAATTACTTTTATTTTTTTATTTATTGCTAAAAAAAATTGCGTACTTTTTTGTTTGTATTATATGGTGGAATCATTAAAAGTTTCCGACAACTTAATTTGGATACATAGAATTCTATTCCATTTTTTTTTTAATATTCCAATCAATTTATCTACTCGCGACTATCCGATTTGGAGCAGATTCTGACTCTTTTCAAAAATAATACTGAAGAAGATCGAACACATGTTCTTATCCCTACCTTCTTAGTTCTCTAGTGCTAACTGAATTATCATCATTTGATTATCATTAACCTCTTAATGTTGACATGGTGAAAAGAAAGACCAGCGGGGCATTTTCAAATACATCTATATTATTCAAAGGGGTTAACATTTTTCATATTTACACATACATAAAAGTTTATAGAATCCATGTGAAAAGAATAAAGAGAAATAAAAAATATGGAAGCCCACACACTTTTGTGTGTAGGAGATAAACTCTTATTTAAAAAGGTTAAACACTTATATATGAATTATTTTTTCATGTTGTGGCTAAACTAATAATGGCCTTATATTTATTTAAAAAAAAAAAAACTTTAAACGTAAATCAAAAGATAACAGTTTGAGAAAACGCCTCTCATTCAACATAAACAAAAAAGAATTATGCTTTCAAACACTCACGTGAGTATGTGTTGATATTTAGAGGCTTTGGATATATAGTTCTATTGTCTCGAGACGTGAGATTTGTATACAGTCCTACACTCCTACTTTTAGGGAGTGTTTTTTTTATCTGAATCTCAATTTTCAGAAATATAACAAAAACATTCAGTTTATAATAATATCTTAAAATTAAAATTTTTAAAAAATTCAATTTTTCGAGAATCCTAAAAAATACCAACTATCAAATGCTCCCTTAGAAAAATATGAATCACCTAAATACTCCATATTATTAACTTATGTTGGATGAGAATTTTTTTTCTTTGCGATCCTTCAATTTACATGTAAATTTTTTTTTTTAATAAATATAGAATTCATCACTAATTGAGTCATAACATAATAAAATAATTATCATATAACATCAGAAAATCAAAGCACTATTATTAATAGAATGGACTGCACTATGGTGCCGTTACAAGGACCCTGTTAGCCAGGATGAATACATGATCTTCGTTGGAAGAAACTAGTCAGCCGCCCAAGCCAACATCGGCATGGAGAGCAGCTTCGAAAACGCTGGGTTAGATTCTTTTAATTGACTTTCTCTATTTATTTATTAATTATTCGATTAATTCAAATCAAGCTTAATAGGAATATAAACATTTAAGTGTGTATTTCTCGAAATACATAACTGAATTTGTAAACAAAAAAATGTAAATATATGATGTACTTACAGTTAGCCCATTGCACATGACCCAACCAATGATTCAGGAAACACAAAGTCAACCAAAATTGTGATCCAATAAGTATGACGAAATTGTTAAAAGAAACAGTAATTTGAAATATAAAAAATTATGACAAATCCAAGTCCAGATGAAGCAGCAGATATGATTGTGATTTGTTTGGCAAGAAAAAGAAAGCAACACATCTGGCATGATTTGAGATATAAAATTTGGGACGTATTTTGAATGATTCAACTATAATTATTTATTTATTTTTATATGTTAATTTACGTTATATTTAATTTAGAAATTTTCCTTATTTTTAGGATTTTAGATTTTGAATTTTGAATTATTTGTAATTAGTCTATCAAAAGGTGCTTAAAACCCTTATTGCAGGAGTTGAATTTTGTTAATAGAAATTGAGAATCAGAGGGTTACTTTTTTATCGTATCCCAACTTTCTGTTTAGCTACTTTTTTCTATGTGCTTTCGGCATCATTAAGTATCATAGCACTAAGTTGCCTTCAACCAATGGCTGAACAGAATCATATGGGTCATCAATGGTGGAGTCGTGAAGACAAGGGACGTGGATTCGTTCATAAAGAAGACAGACAACCGCGTCATATAGGCCAATGTAACATGGAAAAAGAAGAGCTCGGAAGGCAGATCTAGGATTTGAAACGTCAACTTGAGGAGGCACAGAGTATGAAAATCCAATTTTTGGAGCAAAATGCACCAGGTGTCGTAGCTAATCGAGTAGCTCTCGAAGCATGTGTACAAGCTCGGAATAAGGGGCGTGATCTTGCTCATGAGGATAATGAGATTATCCGTGACCTCGCCCTTCACTGGAAGGCTATGCCCCATCCTAAGGTGTTGCTAGATGAAAGGATCTTATCAATGTCCATTTGGAGCGTGAAGTGTAATTAGATCGATTTTTTTTTTTTTTGGGGGGGGGGGGGGGTTATTATTATATATATTATGTTTATTATATAAATTTAAAATAATTTATGCTACTTGTGTTGGCGTAGAGCAGAAAAATTCAAGATTTGGAGCGACAACTCGTGAGGGCTCATACCAAGAAAATCAAAATTTTGAAGCGACAACTTGTGGAGAGCATGAAAATCTAACATTTGGAGCGGCCACTTGCATGGACAAAGTTGGACATTCAATCCGAAGAAGGAATGAACTTAGAGAATGCATCTGATGACGAAGAGGAGGACATCAATCACTTGGGGATTTTAAACCAGGGACAAAATTGGGAAGTCCCACTTGGAATTCAGTCCGCTTTTCAAGATATCGAGATGCAAATCAACATTCATGACTTTGATGTCTACGATCATAAACACAGTTTATTATGATTATTCGATCTATGAAGATAATCCAATTTATTGTTGTTAGCATCTATTTTTGTCCTATATTTTGTGATTCATTACCAAAAGAATCAAGGAATGAATGAAGAAAGGAAAGAAAGGTATTTTTGAAAACTTTGCAGCAAGAATTGGAAATGAGTAGGTCTTGCTCCGGCTGCTAGATCTCCATCATCCACCATCCCATCAAACTGAAATGTTTTTAGTAATTTTTTGACTTATTGTTCAACATATTCAACGGTGGATTTGTTGATTGGAGGTCTGTACCATTCCCAGAAAATTCAAAATCGAAACAAGTCTCCAGGGCATTTTTACTGCAGGCAGCGTTTTTGTGAGGACCTTTTCTCTCAAATGAACCGTTCGATCGTCCTCAAATTTGTTCAGCGTGTTCCTCTCATATGATACTTCAATCTGACTATGCCGATTTTCGAACTGATCCTCCTAACATTAGATATAAATTTTAAAAGATGGCCTGTTAGTTTTTTTAGAACAGATGCAATTTCGGGCAGTCATATTGCAAGGATTATTTCTCTCAAATGAACCGTCCAATCTTCCTCAAATTTGGTCAGCATGTTCCTCCCATATGATACTTCAATTTGACCGGACCGATTTTTGAGCTAAGCCCTCTGGTGTGAGATATTGTTGTCACAAAATGGTTGTTCACATTGAAAAAATTAATTTTCCTAAGAAGTCTCACATTACCTATTTCTCATTCCTTCCTCTTCCTTTCCCTCTATATAAAGAGCCTTTTCCCCTTCCTTCAATATACACTCTTAGAGAAGCAAATAAAAAACACAAAATACAAGACACTTGGTTTTGGTTCAAAACTAAGTTAGTGTCATAGTAAAAAAATTTAATTACTAATTTTCTCTATTTTTTTCCTTTTTAGGAAAGTTGGGGTGGTTCTCCAAAATTTGGCTCCTTACACCAAGTTTTGATCATCTTCGAGGTAAATCCATTTACCTTCTTCTTTAGTTAATAATTTTCTTTGTATGCTTTTATGTTCTTTATTTATTAGGAATTTTCTTATAATTTTCTTATGCTTTTCATGTTTTAATAGAAGTTTTTTATATGGCTTATAAATTATATTAGGGATTAGTTTAGGAGTGACGTTTTGTTAATCTTATAATTTTTTGGTTCATTTTTGCTGTGACGGCTTGGTGATTCAAAATTTATCCAAATTTTTTTAATAGTGAAACTTAAAACATTAAGATTTTCAATAAAGGGGTAATTTAACCATGACGGCTTGTTAACCTCATGTATTTTATTTTGGCTCATTTTAGCCGTGACGGCTTGGTGATTCAAAATTCTTTTAAATTTACCATAAAATTTATAGTAATAAAAATAATAACATGAAATTTAATTTAAAATGATTAGCTGAGTAGAGATAGCTTGTTAATCCTATAATCGTATTTCAGATTATTTTAGCTGCGAGAGCTTGATGATCTGAAACCGTCAAATGTTAAACTTCTAAATGAATTATTTTTAAAAATTAAAAAATCAATCAACACACAAATATTATCTACAGAACGACGCAGCTTTGAGTTTCCTATTG